CCCATCTCTGGTCCCAGTGCTCGCAGACTCGGCCTTAGCGTAAATGAGGAATCCAACGGCGCACATCAGCAACTCTGTAACTGGAGTTATTAAGGTGGTTCTGTTTGAAGTTACTTTGACGATTTAAAGTCCAGGTGAAATCACAAACACACGAACGTGAAGGGTTAGAAAATGTGGACCTGAGCTAAAGCATCCATCTGATTTTAGACGGTGTAAGAAGGGCGCACCTCTTTCCTCAGAGCCGCTGACAGGACCAAACAGCGCTAACTTAATCTCACTGGACAAAGGAGCTCAGGTGGATGCTGACAGATGAGGGACGACTAATTAACAGACGATGTTTGGGAGTCACTTGCCATCATCTCTGTGGTTGTGGCTTACATATTGTATTCAACAGATTGTGGAAGAAGCTGTGCCACAGATGCTTTGCGTTGGCCTTCAAAACCTTTTCATTGTGCTGAATCACACGCCAACACAGCGACACGTACCTTAGCCAAACAGAAGCACGCTTGCATGCGAACTTTGTAGAAACACTGTTCTTGCTCGAGGATGTCAGTCAGAGCCAGCCTGGAGGCAGGAGTTGGGAATTTTTCAAGTGCTGAGATGGCCTCCTCCTAACAGAGAGATCATTGTTCAATCAGACTTTAGTTTAAAAAAAGAAAAAGATGAACATTTACTAAAAACAGTAACGTTAACTATGCTAACGTTGCAGTTTTTGTAGCTGCATAACGAAGCAGAAAACACATTTAATTAAACCATAAAACCGACATTTAAATGAAAGATTGTCCAAACACTTCAATTTCCTAAAAGACACCTGCAGCCCGCATCCTGGCTGTGGCCACAAAAACGATTTCTCCACAGGGACGGTTGTAATTTATGCCAGAATTGGATTCACAGGCAAAGAAGTCAGGAACAAAAGCATCATTACAGACTAGAGGACGTGACAGCAAGCAAGGAGCAGAGGCCTCATTCTTTACCACAAAGCAACATGCAGATGACTTTTTCTGCATGAAACAAAAACCAGAAAGGTTGAGCTCTGTTGCATGGAGAGAAGATTCATTACTGAGCAAACAGCACGCCAACCGTCGGGACTGGACGGTGCCTTGATGCTACAGGAACTGGAGAACTTGACCATGTGACCATCACCATGGAGGAAAAATATCATTTCATCTGTCCGCAGAGGCAGCACATGTGAGGAGCTGCACTCACAGTGAAAGCAGTGTGGCTGTAAATAACAGCAGAGCAGTAAAGACTCTCCGACACACGGACACGAGTGCAAGTAAACAAAACAAACAAATAAACACTTTTTCTTTAAATCTGATGCATCTTGGTCCCATTGATACCGTTTAATATGTTTAAGTCTTGTCTGACGTTACATATAAAGAATTATTCTCTTCCTTAGCCTGATGGATACAGTCTGAATACTTAAACACTGGGCACTCGCTACCTGTTAGACACAGTGATAAAATAATGTGGTGTCATAGTGGAAAAAGCTGCACATGTGCATCACTGTGCAGCAGAATGAAGACAAAGAACATTAGTGAGCTGTGATTCCTTTATCAAATCAATTTTAGAAATGACAACTCATTAGAGCTCCAGGCTCATCGAACACACAGGCGACTGCTCTTTAAGGCCGGTGTGCAGCCCTGCATGCTCACTGTTAGCCCACCTGTGCAACAACATCCCTCTCATAGCGCAGCTGATACTGCCACATGAAGTCAGCCTGCTCAAACTCCACCTTCCTCAGGATGGACATGTCCGGGTCGATTCGGATCCACAGGAGGGGAGAGTCAGCACTGCAGAGGAA